GCTCTGTGTAGTAAATGTAGTAGCTGCTCCATCTGAAAGCACGTGATGGAGATTTACTACTGATCACAGAACCGGCTTTACTGACAAGATGCGCATGACAATCGCATTCGATTAATCTTGCAGCCCTACTGCAAGCACATGCAAAGCATAAAATTATTACATTTTGATGAAATGAGTGCATCACACGCTGATGAATTGTGCACAATAGAACCAGACACCATAATTTAGTAAATAGGGTAAATTGAGATTTCACGTCATCTTTAAATTGCATTTTCCAATAAATTAGGCGATTAGCACAGAGGAAGTACTTGGCCTATCAACTCAAAGGGCCTGGGTGTTTTTTAAACGTTTCCTTGCATTCAAGAATGCACCATGCAATTTCGCTCGTCCAGTCCTGAGAAAAGGCTCGATTCCTCAAGGAACAGCATAATGAGAGGAAAGACACTCAGCCCACACAGCATTGGGATGAAGACGAGCATCGAGGTGACGCTCTCCCCCCACCATTCTGGGCCCTGAGATGGGGGGCGCCTGTCAGGGCCAGGGGTCTGTGTGATATTAGCCGTCTGCCAATCCGGCGTGGGGAATGGACACAGAGTAATTACTGCTGCTCTTACTGCCTCATCAATCTCTCTCTATCGCTGTCTCTCTCTCTCCCCCCTCTCCCCCCTTCAAACTCTATCTTTCTCACTCCTGTAACAGAGGAGAGAAAAACAGATTGAGTGACAGAGCACCACACAAGAAATGCCGAATGAAATAGGGCCACTACCAAATGATGATGTTCGGGGGGCTGCTTTTACACGTTGTTGCTGTATGCATGTCAAAAATGGTAATTTCTGCTGTTCATTCTGAGGCCAGGTTGAACTGTTAGGCTGAGTTCATCTCTATTGCAGTTTATTTAAGTTGTAAAAAGTCTCACACTCAACTGGGTCCTTTACCTATAGGCCTGCAGGCTCTGCCTCGTAAAATGAGTCTGAGATTTCCAACAACTCCTAAAATTTTACAAGAGGGTTCAAATTAAGGTCTTTCAAAAATGAATGATAATTAAAAAGCCTTAATTAGGTCTTTGACCAAGCAGACTGTGAAATCGGAGTCATGTAGTTCATACAGGTTGGTTATAGACAAGGATTTGAGCTCGTTTTTCTGAACCAGATGGGCTTGTTGTGGACCTACATCCATCTACATGGAAACCATCTAGAAATTTTACACGACATGTAGGTGATAGCTTAATTGGCTGACGTTTTCCAATACTAGGGCTGGGCAAAAAAAATTAGATTTTCGGATTAATCGTTTTTTAAAATGACGTCGATTCGATATCGATTCTCAAAAGCCGCAAATCGATCTTTTCCTGTATTTATTTCAGCACACATTTAAAACAAGATCGGATTAATGTGAATCTTATCATTAGTCTTCTCCACTAGATGTCACCCTTATTTACCTTGCGCGATGTTACAACAGAAATCCTGTCATTCATTCAGCACTTATCATGGCCATACGCGCAAGTCGCAATGCTCTGGTGAAATGCTATAGTAATACTATAAATCTGCGGAAGTATTTGATATCACGCATAAGGCGCCATGATTTCCGCAATGAATGAATGGCGGATGGTGTGGCGCACTTTTTTGTTTACTACACACATACTAAAGCTCGGATGACGCTCGCGGTGTTTTCAGCTTCTGCCGTCTCACTATATGATGATATGAACACGAATGTCATCTCCAGCTGCTCTGAGAGTCACTTCATTAACATTTACCGTTTCATTTGAGAAATCTACCGTCATATCACGTACACAGCAGATGGAAGTTCTTCACGGCAACCCGTCAAAATAAAAGTTTAGTTTAACGTTCTACTGTCAGAATATATTACTATTTAGCAGTCTTAAGACTCAATGCTACTACTGCTAATAAATATTAATAAATCTTTATTTTTAAAGGAATAAATCACATCTGTTTTCTTTTTAAAACAGAATGGTACATTTCTGTTCCATCCGTACCACGGACATAGGTGTAGGACACAAAAGGAATTTTGGTGCCATTTGGTGCCCAGTTTTACTTTTTTTAAATAATTTTTTTCTTATGGCCTCATATTAATTGAGAGATGACATTAAATATGTGTTCCTTTAAAAATAACAGCATTATGTAAATGAACTGCAAAAAAAGCTAAAAGAGTATTAAAATTCTAAAGAGAAAAAAAAATGGTGACCAGCCACAGCACAAAATATACACTTTTCCCGTTAAACATACAATCTGAGATCACTAGTTAAAATGCTTCTATTCTGAACTTTTAAAAAAAATATATTTCAGATTTTTAACAATTTGCGTGAAAAGTGGAATTGAGTGGAAGCAAGAACATCTGATGAGTTCACATGATCAACGTCACAAAAGTGCTTTGATTAGTGACCCAGAAATAGTGCCGAATCTTAAATATTGCTTATATATTATTTCCATTTTAAGTTTACCTAACGTTTCTTGTTTTAAATTGTTCAACTAAAATTTGTGACTTAACAGTTTAAAACAGAAAATTGTATTTAAACCCAAAATCTCCATGTCCATGTTTCTCATCAACTAGCTATAATAATATTGGCTGCGCTTCATTTAAAATTCAAAAACAGAAAAACAGAAAGTACAAAAGCACATGACCTCGGCGATGAGCTGGGCAGCCAGAACAAAAGTCTGGGTGCTGAAAAGGGTGAGAATCAACTTGCTGCAACCGTTTTAATTCGATGGGGGAGGGTCAAGACCGAAGAGACGATTGGCTCGGAAACCTCATCTCTCTCTTAATTTGTTTCTAAGGAGATTAATTAACAAATCTTACATTTCACACACATGAAGTTTATGTTAAACAGATGGGGAAATGCGAGGGGGGTGGTTAGTGTGACTTTTGAGCAGAACATTTCCTTAACAATAAAAAACAATCTTTCCAACTGCAGCAGCACTCTGAGGAATTCAATGCCCCTCCCCCACTCTTCCCTAACCCTCCCCTCCACCTCCATTACCATATCAAAGCCCCGAGTTCAGAGCAAGACTTCTCTTTCAAGAATGGAAGCAAGGCATCAGGAGGGAGGAGGAGGAGGTGAGGACAAGACCGCAATACCAGGGAAAGGCCTGAGCTCCAGCACGCTTTTATCCCTGCTGTTCAGTGTAGGAGAGAGAGAGAGTGAGACAGAGGAAGACACACAGAGACTGTGGAAAACAGATGTAAAGACTACTGATCAGCACTACAATCATGTGCAGTAGAGGAGGCTGCCTTCTTTAATTCACATTCCAGAGGCAGGAGATAAAAGCAGCGGGGAGTCTTGGAGAGAGGCAGTGCAGGTATATATATATATATATGGAGCTGGGAAGGAGGTGGGGGACGTGCTGATCATGTAGGATATAAATTTCTTTGACTTTCCAAATGTTTTGTATTTTCCCAAATGTTTTAAATTTCTTAATTCAATTTAATAATTTTTTTTAGCATTACATTCCACATTTTTAAGTACTCCATTTAATTTTTTTTCTTAAGTATTGCCATTGAATAGCAAGAAATAGAGAGATTATTTTTGTACAGCGCTGGATGAATGTAAAACAGTTAAGAAAATAAACAAAAAACAGATTATTTTAAAATAATTGAATAAATATTTGTTAATATATTTTATATCATGCTATTATATATATTACTATATAAATATAATATATATA